CCAGCGCCGGCGGCAGAGTGGTCCCACAGGGGCCCGGGAAGAGAAACCTGGAAGGAAGCAGCCTGGTGAAGGAGCAAGTAATGAGCACACAAGAGTTTTTTTTTTCCCCTGAAAAGTGCCTAAGTGCATGTGACACATGGGTAGCTAGTCCTGTTTCTGGAAGAGTTTTTAGCCACTCTAGGACCTAGGGACAATTTTGTGACACATACCTACGAGGATGAAAACCCTGCTAAATAGCTGTTGGTCTTGTTGAAAACTTTTGCTGTGAAACAGTAAATTGGATTTCAACCCTCTAGACTTCAGCTTCATCTTAAAATACAGTTGTAGCTTCAGTGTAAGTTCACAACAACAAGAGAAAACTGTGATTTTTTCTTCTGTGTTAGAAGAAAATACTACTTAAGCATTGGGGAAGGAAAGATCATGTTTGTTTTTTAAAAATGTTCCAGGCGTTTTAACAATTCAATACAAGAACACATTGAAGGGGGAGGGGAAAACTAAAGCCTGTTAGTTTAAAACTGAACAATTTTACCTGAACCTATTTGTAGCAGGAGTGGCTTCCATATTAAATTCTGCAACTGGCACTCCTCTGGCAGATACCTGAGGGGCAAACATAGCGGCAGGATACACCACAGAGGAGGATCCAACCTGCAGGAAAAGGAAAAAAAAAAAAATCATGAGTGTAGCAGGCTGGTATTGAAACAAATAAAAATCTCCCCACCCTGAGCCTTCTCAGCCCACTGGATCTGCAAAGCGACTACAGCACAGAAGATCCATACAGAAACAAAATCAAATCCATATATATTTAGTGTCACTGCGTATTTAGCTATATAATATAAGAATGAAGAACTGTTTCTCTAATACACCCAAAGAAGCCTTTTTGTAGACTATAACTGCAAATGAAGGAAAAAAAATCCCAGAAACATAAAAGGACTGACTTTGTTTTCAGTGGTGTTTCAAAACACCTTTCTGTTATTTAGGATTATGTTGTGAAGGGTACATAATATTTTGGTTGGCGGCGTAGAACCTACAGCACATGAGAACAACCTTAAAAAGCAGCAGCACGTGGCAACAGCTAGCTAACTTGTTACAATATTGTGTAACCTTTTTTGTTTAGAAAACTCAAGTATTAAAATAATCCAATTTTCCAGTGTTTGAGAAATCCAACAGTAACATTTGTGTACAAAACTTCTAGTTACTGCTAAATACACGCTGCACGTGCCAGCTGATCAAGATGCACACATGCATCTTGAATACACCTTTGTGTATTGTATCTGAGCAGTAGATGTAAATTTGCAAACTTCATGATCTTTTGATGTATTACATTTGACACTAAAGCAGTCCCTTAGGGGTTTTTAGTTCCTTCAGGGGAGTACAGATGCATCTCTTTCAACCAGGAGGTGCAATTTCTTTAACTTGGCTTCCCTGCTGATTTAACAGACTAGGTAATCAAAATGTGACTTACTACCAAGCAGAGGTCACATATGTCAAGTTCTTTCTCAACCTCTGTGAGAACATCAGCATCCAGGGTTTCACCAAACCACACGACGTGGGGGCGAAGGAGGCCACTGCAGCCGTCTTCCTCACACCTGTTTAAAAATTGGAGGTACCTTATGCTTATGACATGAATATTTCAACCTGCAAAAAGGCATTTTTCATTTTTGTTTGGACATGTCTTATATTCCTTCACTCTTCCTCCCCTTTTTTCCACCGCACTCTCCACTCCCTCCTGTGTTCCCTTAACTACTTGCTAGGCAAAAGGCAGTCTACGGCATAGCTGTTTCCATGCTATGCATGTGCTGGACTGGTCACAGTCACACAGAACAGGGTGTTGAACAGTTGTTCAACTTGTTGTGTCCTCTGCCTACTCAGCTTCTGAATTTCATGAAACTCATAGGGCTTAGTATGCCACAGATCTCTGCCTCTGTCAACTAGAAACTGGCCAACAGGCTTTTAAGGAGAAAGTGAACTGAAAGAGAGAAGCATCACATGAGTCTCATTTCCATAGGAACCAGATGAAAAATACTATAGCTTCTTGCATTTACAGTTAGCTGAGGTAAAGCCTCAGCCATTCTAAAAAAAGCAGCATGGCATTTTTAAAGCCTGCAAGGGACTATTTGGTGGATATATCCAAATACACTATTGCACACTGAGTAAAAGGAGGAAAGCGCTACCTGCAAAATAAGAAACAGCTCATTGTGTAGCGCTTAGGACTTAATGCAATTGTCTTGCTACCCCACTTAAAACAAAATCCATTAGTTTAGGTATTTTTAACTTGATACTTAAGTGTACAAACATGCCATCCCTTTACCATCACGATAAACCTTCATTGCACACTCCTATTGTCTTGTGTCCCCCATAACATTAGGTTTAGATTTAGACTGAAGTATTTGGGAGAAAATCCCATGCCTTATCCTTCTGTAGAATGTGCCCTTCCAAAACTACGTGAACAGTAATATAAGCCTTTAATATACACGAAGTATGAAGAAGGTAACACCAAAACATAAAGCATTCAATACGTACCGAGGAAGGTCTTCAACTGGAATCGCGGCATCTTCTATTTCAGGATCTGGAGCCCTGAAGTTACAAAATTGAAATATATATTTAGTATACAAAGTGCTCTTTGTATGATTGATAAAAACTTAGTATTCTCTAAAGCACACTCTCCAATCAAGGAATCTTTGTAGTCAACAGAAACACCTACTACAGCCCTAAAATACCACACAGAGGGCACGTAGACAAATACCCAGAATTATCCTAGAGCTAAACAAACTGTAATAAGCTTGTAAAAGTCTGATAACGGCAAAACAAATATTTATGTATCTAGAGATCTGATGAAATGCAAAGAGGAAGAAAACTCAAAAGTCCATGGATATATGCCTGTCCCTTGGATTTTTTGAATGATAAAGAGGAGGGCTAGAAAAAGGAGATGGAATGATTCTTCTACAACATAGAAGAAAGTCTGGGAAACTGATTTTTACCTTCTTATTGTTTCACACATCTATATTCATGGAAATCTTATTGATAAGTTTAAGTATGATAGCTACGTGCTGTGCAAAAGATGCAGAAGAGGTCAATCTATGCATCAGAGTGATGACGGACCAATTTAAGGAAAAAACCATCTGATTAAAAAAAAAAAACTGGAAGGAGGAGGAGATGGGAGCAAACACACATTCTCATAAAGTAAGTTAATGTCCAATATGAGAGTTCCAGACAATCTGAAATTGTTTTAATAAAAAAATATATAATATTGTTCTTATATTATCAGTTATTCATTCACCAGGCTCCTCTCTCATGATATCATTGGCTCTAACTGAAGTTTATAAACAGTATACCCACATTTCAAAACACTCGTGTAAATTTTAAGCATTAGTACTACTACAGGAAAAAGCTCCTGTTGGCTAAAGCTCCTGTGCACTTCCAAAATGGCTCCTTTACTACAGAGTAGCAGACAGAGTGGGAAGTACAGAATTTACAAGGCAGACATTACCCTTTTCCAGCCAGTGCTGGACATATAGGACTCTTGTAATCCGCAGTCACATTTCCACAGTTGGTGCATCGAGTTTTAAATAAACTACCTGAAATGCACAAATTAAAAATGTCAGCTGTTAGGGATCAAACAACCGCTCGGAGGCATGGCTATGCAATCAGAGTTACGTTTATCTCAGGCAGTCTTTATTTGACATTGAAGACTATACTTTCTGGGTAACTTAATACATGAATGTAACAATCAAGTGTTGAAACCTGGCAGCATTATAAGTGAGACATTATTTACAGAGTGCATACACACACTTCTGTTCAGCAACCAAGACGACCAGTCTCATAGTTACGCAGAGACCAGGCAGAGCAAAAACAGCAGCACTGCTTTCAGCTGAAAAGCTGCAGTGAACAATAGCCACAGTCCCTCTAAGCAACGATTTATCATCTTGTTCATCGCATGACTTGAATAATACACAGCCTCATAACAATAATTCAGGGGAAAATTAGAATTATTTGCAATCTGATTGAGGTAGATGATTTCTGTTTATTGTTTCTCCCCTTAAAACCGGAAAATTTACTTAAAATATATGCTAGTTAACACTATTTTATTTTAATGCCAAAAACCCCAAAAAGCTCAGAAGTATACCTCTAAAGCTTTCTAGAGTTAGTAATGTGCCACAGAGATGCTTGGTACTATCAAGAGTTTGAAACTGTTTATATATTTTAAAGAATAAGGATAATCAACTATGCCCATCAGAGTAAGGGAACAAGATACTTTGGATGCTCTGTTCTTGGATCCCCAACTGCAAAATAATTCGCGCTGGTATCCTTTGTGCAGACCACACAGTAGTGATGGGAAATCCCATTTAAACCTTCACAATACTTAAGTTAAAAAGCATCATAGTATTACTAAATCTTCGAATTTCAAGGTCTTTTTTTTTCTTTTTTCTAAAGACAAATCTAATTTTTGCTGCTAGTCCTTTTCCTGCTCCCTTCTCTCCCCTCAAATTCCACAGCAGACAGGTAAACTCATTCTTACCATGAATTTCTAAGAGGTGCTTTGTGCCTGCCTTTCTGTGTAGTTCATCAATGTTCTGTGTAATGACCACAACACTCCTTCCTTGTTTGCTCAGTCGTTTTTCACACTCTGCAATGGCAATATGTGCAGGATTTGGATGTTTACTCAACATCACTTCCCGGCGGTAATGATAAAATTCCCACACTCGAGAAGGGTTTCTGGCAAAAGCCTCTGGGGTAGCCAATTCCTGAAAAAGACATAACCGTTAATTCTAATAACAAAAGTGGAAGGAAATTCCCTTTCCTCCCCCTGATCAAGCCTGATAGCGTATCACTGTTCAGACTGTTACCTGGATAGCAAGACAATCAAAAGCAGATTATTTCTAACCAGATACAATCAACAAGAACACCGATCGACAGCCCTTGCCTTATAAGGATGACAAGTCAAAGTATCTTATTAAATGAGGAAACAGCCTATATCAATGAAGTGATACCTGCTTTTACACGCAGACTTTATTCTGTGCTACCCTACCAAATTATTAGAGTTTAGTATAGCCCAAAGGAAGATGGGATATTTCAATGCACGGCATTACTGGCATTGAAAATTCTCATTTCCACAGCAGCCACAAAACTCAGCACTGGGTGGATATATCTCCTTTGCCAGCAGTTTCTTTTCTGCCTTACTTTAAATATAACAAAGGCCAAATTATGCCACTGTTGCAACCAAAGTCTAACGTCTTGTGTTTTATGTGCTAGTAAAATCTCAGCCAAACTTTTTACACTAACTTCAACTTTGCCTTTTTCAAAAAATGAGTGGTAGCTCAGTGTAATTTTTAAGTGCACAATTGTACTGACATAGAAGGGCTGAATATTAGCATTCTGGTGCAGAAGGAATATAGCATTTACACACACACATGATTTGAATTGACAGTCACTGAAAGAAAGAGGTGCACCTTTACATTCAAAATATCTAGAAAACCTCACATCTCTGACGCTTTCTAAATTCTTCAAATCTTTCATAAATGCTATTGTAAAAAAAATATAAAAAAGCAAACATGATTGCAGCATTTAGGGTACCAATTACTGATAGTAGAACAATTACTCAAAATGCCTGCAGTACCACACGGTACCAGACTCACAAGGCACCAATACTACTCTGACATTTGACATCTTGTTGCCCTCCTCTGCACCAGCCCGCCCCGTGGGGTCTGCTTCTGCCTCTCTCCTGCCCCAGTGGCTCCCAATGCCAGCAACATCGCTCCAGCAAGAGGGCCAGAGCTTGTGGGGCACGTAAAGGCTGTGAGGAACCCTCCTCCCCCAACCCCCATTAAAGGAAAAACTAAAACATTTTAAAAGAGGATTATGAAAAACAAGATTAAAAGAAAACCAGTCACTATCACTGGTATTGTCTTTTATCAAATCTGCAGAAGTTTCTTAAGAATTCAAAGTAGGAAAGGTCCTAGGAGAACAGCCACGATGCCAAAAGAAGAACAAGCCACGATGCCAAAAGAAGAACAAATAGTGAAGCCACAAAGCAGCAAGAAAACAAGGACAGTAAGAAGGCCCAGAGTTGTTTGCAAAAGCATTAGTTTGCCCAAACAGCTGATAAACCAAACAGCAAAAAGGAAGCTGCAGCTGCACAAAGCAGCCACAACAGGGCATGGGGAAGACACACAAACACGACTGTAGGGAGAGCTCTGTCACTATCAAAACACTGTTGGGAGCACTTCAACACTTTAAGGTACCTAGGTTTTCCTGACTCATTGTACTTACCTACTTGACTGATTAAAAAAAACAGACACGCGCCATGAGTACCTACCTGTGCTGGCCACTTTCTCCAGAAACCTCCAGCCCCTCTGAAGGTAGGAACTCCGCTCTCAGCGCTAACACCAGCTCCCGTAATAATGGCTATGTGCTTTGCTTTGGCAAACACTTCTCGAAAATCAGCCATATCTAAACGTTGAGGAGGGGAAAAAAAAAAAAGGCTGTTCAAACATTTGCACTTTTATTCAAGAGGTCATTTGGGTAGTACTGGCAAACGTATGCATCCAGAAATGGCTACCACATACACCTACCATAACTTTACCTTCAGAATAGTAATTTTTTTCTAAGCTTCTGTATACTGGAACGAGAAGGGCACTTCTTTGAGATGCTCAGAAATACTTACAAACAAACGCAGTGGGGCAATATGCATTGAACTGTGAATATATTCTATATTTGAAAGATAGAAGTCTTAAACTAAAACCTTATGCTAGATGGTGCAATGATGACAACAGCAGCCACCACCACCCAGGAACAGTTTGCTTCCTAACTGTAAGGTAGGATCCTGGGATGAAAGAAATCTAGTCTTCACAAACATTTAGTTACAAAATATCACCTTGAAAATTATGGTAATTTGGGGAAAAAATGTTTCCTTCCAAAACATCTTGCCCACTTCGTAGGTTCGAAATTGTATTTTCTATCTTTAATATATATTCCCTACATTTTTCCCTGTACAGTAAACCAACTTGGGAGAAAGATGGGAGATTTCTTTCCCAGTTTAGTAAGGGCCAAAGCAAGATCAAAAAGGAAAATATAGAGAGACAAAAAGCCCTCTTTCAGTCTTTCTTGGATGTTAGCTTTAAAGCAACACATTCTAGAATCATAGAATCGCTGAGGCTGGCCTCTGGAGATCGTCTAGTTAATGTGATTGCACGTAACCCCCTGCTCAGAGCAGGACCATCTAGGGCAGGTTGCTCAGGACCTTGTCCAGTCAGATTTTAAATTTCTCCAAGAACGGAGACTCCACAGCCTCCCTGGGCTACCTGCTCCACTGTTTGACCAACCCCAGAGTAAAAACAAAAAAGACTTCACGACTAGACTAGACTAAACAAAGCTTCTGGAGTTACCTAACGCCCTGCTCCTGAGTTGTTATAAACGCTTGAGGCCCTCCATAATTCTCCTCCATAAAGAAGCGAGAGAGTGAATTTCAATACCCATTAGGAACATGAAAAGGAAAGTATACACTTACGTGTATAAATTTCAGATACTAAAAACATCAACAGGCAACTACACTGACTGCAACTATGTGAGGGTTTTTGGAACCATACAAGTTTATAGGTATGGTTGACAAATTTCACCCACTAAAAAAAAAATCAACTTCACACTTTCCTAAACCTTAAAAGAACCTACGTTTTTGAATTAAACTATAGACTTTGCCTATTACATGAAACTCTCTGGAGTTTCAAGTCTAGTTTAACACCCGTTTAATATACTAAAAGAAACAAATGTATATCTTACTTGAACTAGGACGAGCCATTTCCAAGCAAAACCGCTGTTTCTTTGAAGAAAAAGGCTTAAGTCCACAGTATGCTTGGGAAACCAGCCTTCTAGTGGTAAACTGAAAGAGACTCATCAGCATCACTTCAAAGTGCTTTATCTGAAGAAAATACAATAAATGAAACACAAGTGAGCCATTTAGTGAGCATATTCCTGTAGGGTCTCTGTATCACAAATAAAGAGGGGAGTATAAACACTATTCATGCTTTTCTCCTGCACTTCATTCAGCCAAGTGAAGTTTTATGTATGAGACGTATTCATGACCACAGTATTTCTTAATTGCAAGATAAAACAAAACACTTGCTGAGATTTAACAGGTCTGCCTTTTCTTTCTTTTGGAGATAAAGGCTATCATAGCATCTTTGAATTCTCCCTCTGTGCTGCAAAACGCAGATGTCACAAACGTGAGATCCAAAATTGGAGTGACCACTTCTGCTTCGTTTTGCTTCCAGTTAGGAATGAGCAGAAGAAAATTGGGTCTGTGCAAAGACTGCTGAGCCCTTAAATACATTCACTACAGCATAAAAACACACTGCTACAATTTTCTGTGCAATATTTAACTTAACGCGATGCTTTTAAATTTGCAGACTTATGCAAGAGTAATTTCCTGGGTGGGACTGTTAATTCCTTTTTTTTTTTTTTTTTAAAGATGAAAAGCAGACAGACATCAACGCGCACATGCTAGAGAGGCTTCAGAACGGGACAAAGCTACTGCAGCTTCTGCCTTGGCTGGGGACTTTGCGGTCCAGGGCTCTTCAGGCAAAGAAAGAGGTGCCTTCGGCCTGAGCCGGCGAGGCAGGGCAAAGCAGCCGGCGTCCGGCAGCGCCGTGCCGACCCCTCGCCAATTCCTGCCTTTGAACTGTAGCAGTTCTGCTCTCAGGACAGGAGGCCGCCACCTCTTTTGCACCCGCAGCGTACAACCCCCTCCGCATCGTGCAACTCTTGCAAGCGATTCAACGTGAAGGAAATCAACGCGCATATATCATCATCTAACGTCCTCTTGGCTGCTAAACGGGGTTCGTCCTATCAGGAACGTACGTGCTCTCAGCTATACAAAAGTAAAAGGGAAGCGCAGAAAAGCGTTTTTACATTTATGTTCACCACAGGCAAAACGCATTCGTCCGGCCCCTCCCTCTCTTTTAATCCTTCCTGGGCATTTAAAAGCCACCGAAATATTCTCCAGTTCTAGAGGACGTGTGCTCGCCGAGGTTTCCGTCGGAGAGGACCTCCCCTCTCCCTTCCGAGGTCGCAGGAGGCAGGAATCCAGCACCCAGGCTCGCAGCGCCGCTTCCCCGACCGCGCGCGGCCCTCACCCCGGCGCC